TTTTTTTAAAGTGTATCCATATATTGGAAGGTTTATTTTTGTAGAAGCGGTTTCTGGTCCTCATGCCTGATAGTTGAGTGAAATCAAAACTGGAACCATCGCAATAGAATGGACAAAGAATATATTGTGGGCACAAAGGAAACCAAATCTATTAAAAGTAGAGGATTCCAAGGTGATGGATGGCAATCGGAGCCAGCAATCTCCTTTGTATTTGGGAAATAGAGATTAGGGTGCCATTCTTTTTTATTTTATTTTATTTTATTTTATTTTCTGGAGAGATTTTCACTACAGGGTGCGTGCGCTCGCCAGACAGACAGAGAAATACATAAGTGAGAAATCACCCCCCAGGGGGGATGGTCATGTCACAATCCCTTCTCCTCCATTCTCCTCTCGGGATCTTGGGCACACACGCACACGCGCCCGGCGTGAGTTTTAAGCCTCCGGGTTTGGGACGCGAACCGCGGTCGACTACGTGGGAGTCCAGCGATATAGCCATTATGCTAACTGCTGGCTCCCAGGGTGCCATTCTTGAAATTGCCTTTGGCCAAAGTGGGTCAGTGAGCCCAGGTTTTCGCTCTTCCCTGAGGTCTGCCTATATTCATCAATTGGCCTAAGTAGAGGGTACAAAAACCCAAACTCTTTGGGACCAGCAGTTAGCGTAATGGCTATGTCGCTGGACTCTCACGTAGTCAACCACGATTCAAGTCCTGGACCCAGAGGCTTAGACTCTTGCCGGGTGCGTGTGTGTGCGTGCCCAAGATCCCGAGAGGAGAATGGAGGAGAAGGGATTGCAGTGTGGCCATCCCCCCCTGGGGGGTGATTTCTCGCTTTCTGTCTCTCTGTCTCTGTCTGGCGAGCGCATGCACCCTATAGCAAAAACCTCTCAAAAAAAAAAAAAAAAAAAAAAAAAAAAAAACTTTTTACTCCGCCTCTGCAAGGTCATCCTGCCTTCAGAGGCCCTGTCTGTGGCTGCTCTTGCTGCTGATCCTCCTGTCTTCTCCTCCCATGAGCACTGATTTGGTAGCACTCTAATAAACTCCTTGCATGGGAACACTCATCTTGAAATCTGCTTTCTCAACACCTGACCTCTAGTAGGTAAGACACAGACCTTCCGTTTAGGACACAGCGCACATAAGATCACATGCTTTTTCCTTTATCAGCTGCACATTCTCTTCCTTATGTGTGTGAATGTCTCATTCTTGTTATTCACTTTGCAATTTTCCCCTCACAAAGAGCCCTTACAGTCTGATTTGTCTGAACCAACACCTCTCCCCCAGAGCACAGGTCCTACCTTGTGAGCTACAGGGTACTGTAGCGGACTACTTCTGTCTCTCACTTAGACTATGCCCCCTTCATGGTAGAGCTGGCTTAACTCTTCACCTAGCACAGTCCTCTAATGGAGAAACATGAAAATTTAGAAATACAGTGTTAGGGAAGGGATGTATCAGCACCATACTGTCAGGGCCAATTAGACATGTGAGGAGAATGTCAGTCTAGAGATCGGGAACTCTTGTTTGCATGAGTCTGCTAAGAAGTTAAATTTTTATTTTTGTATTTTACTCTCTCCAGTTTTCCTGGAGTGACCATTTGAATAAGCTACTTCTTGAATGAAAAATGAAATCTCTCTCTCTCTTTCTGATGATAAGGTGGTTTCTACCCTTTCACAGTAAAGACAATAAGATAGAACACAATATATAGGGCAGGAGTCAGGTGAGAGTCTCTCTTCTGATAGTTCTTACATGCTCAGATAATGCTTTCCTGGGCCCACTCTTTATGTGCTTTTGGTCTCAGCCTGGTGATGGTGGTTACGTCTTCAACTGCCAGCTAGTATAGAAAGCACTAGAACCAACCTAAATGGTTCCAATTGGATCTATGATACTTTACAAACTTAATTTGGGGAAGAGCAATTACATAAACAATACATGCAAATAGTATAAATGGCTCAAATTTATAGTTTTATAAAGTGTAACACTGCCCATTTAAAAGATAATTCATCTTGGGGCCAACAGGTAGCATGGTGGTTAAGGCAGCTGGACTCCCACATGGCTGGCCACTGTTTGAGTCCCAGACCCGGCAGCTTGCTTTCTCACTTTCCTGTTCTCTCTGTCTCTCTCTGGTCAACTTCAAAAAATAATAATAATAAAAGCAAAATAATGACAATGAATAATATTAAACAAAAAATAATTCTTTTTTTTTTTTAACAAAAAAAAAAGATTGCTCATCTTATTGTCCAACATAGGTGGGCACTGGATTTATTTTTCTATCCCTGTACCACCTATTAGTCAAGATTGGGTGGAAGTGTTTCTTATTTCTTTGAATATTGGAAACATTCTGAGTAGACAGAAGATAGCCAGCATGTAGTAGTTAGAGTACCTAAAGTTACAGAGCAAGTAAGCAGGGGAGGGATCATGACCCAGTTAACAGTCCCATGAATTTACCTTCAGTGCAAGAAGTGTCTAGCTTCTTAAAGGTAATGGAAACTATTTAGCCACATTTTGGTGAAAATGTACACCTCATGGAAAGGGTGGAGCAAGGTTTGAGTAGAACAAACGACAGCGTTCCTTTTACCCATAAATCATGTTACTTTCTCTGTTAATTCCACTAGCTAGATTCTGCTAACACCATCTATGACATCTGTTTTCAAGTCTACTGAGATCATTCAGTCCTCATCTGCCCTAAAAACACTGCCGTCTTTTGAACACACTTATTTTACTTCTGTTGTCTCTCCCCTCCCACATCTTTTCATTCCTTCCTCTGCCTGACTGGCCACTCCACCTCAGTGCTCTGTGTAGATGCTTTCTCTGCCCTGCCTCCATCTGTTGAGGGTCTACAAGATAAAGTGTCTCATTGTCCTCTCTATTATTTGTAGTGATCACCTCCAGTCTCATGCCCTCATTCCAGATATGCAGTCAAGAATTCCAAATCAACCCCTCTACCCATGGCATCTGCTGTGCATACTAAACCCATATTCCCATTTGTCAACATATCTCCCAGGTACCCTAGGAAAAGCATTTGTCCCTAAAGCTTCTGTTGTAAGAAAATCGTTTTCCTTTACTCCTCATTATAGCATTTCCTGTAAATTAAACTAGGACAGCTTTTATGTTTTTCTTGTAAGAATGTAAGTTCCAATACAGAACTGTGTTTGTTTTGTTTACCTTTATTTCTTGACAGCAATTCCAAAATCTGCTGCTTTGCACTCACTTGATACATATGAATTGAGCAAAGTGACTGATTATTATTATTGTCCATGATTAAATTTCATTCAGAAAACTATCTTTTAGATTTTGATTTTAAAACAAGAAATTTAAGAGGCTCAGTTAAATTGATAAGAATTTAATATATAACAAAATAAATATTTAATAAAAGGACAAGTGAACATGTTTTATAAGTTTTAACATTATTTTAAAACAATGTGAGAATAAAAATTTTATTATATGTAAAATATATAAATATATAGTAGATAAAAAAATAAAAATAAATAATAAATTAAAATAAACAGAGCAACCATTTTTTAAGCTTAATGTTCTTAAAATATCCTTGGTTAATATATTAACGAAGTATTTACTGAATTTTACTGAGTAAATTCTGTTACTAAAGCAGAAACTAGAGCATTTTGAAATGTCCAGAGACCCATGTGCAAGGAGACACAGCAGATCAGTCAGTGAGGATCACTTCAGGATGAGCCCAGGCCTCCATCCTCCCTTCTTAACCTTTCGTACAACTTGGATGACGCAGACAAGGATCTCAGGATTTCTGATCGGACAATTTCCCAGGCACAGTCACTGTAGTTCTTCTCCTTCAGGTAGAGCTGGAGGCCCTGGAAGTACCCCTTCAAGGCCAGTAGAGAGCTCTCAGGGGCCAGGGCAGATGGTTCCTCTACCACCCCCTGCACCAAGCAGGCCTCCAGATCTTCCAGCTGCCGATGAAGTCCAGAGTGCAGTTGGTCCAGGAGGGTCGTGTTCCAGGCGGCAGAAGAGGCCTCTGAGACAAAGAGGTTGAAGGTCTGCTGCAGCATCTCGTGGAGGACTGACACGGCCTGGGCCTCCTGCAACTGGCGGTC